GGGTTCTCCCCTGGAGGCTTGGGTACTGCCTGTAAGACACAAACACGGGATGCTTCTAACTGCACCAACAAAACAGCAAAATTCTAGAGGCCTCCTTTAGGTACACTATCTAGATTGTCACTGCAGCCTCCCATGAAACACAACCCGGTCATCCCCAGCATCTCTGCATAACACTACGGAGAAAACTCTTACACCTATTGCATATACGGCTGCATGCTCTGAAAGTGACTGTAAGCCCTTTGCCTACAAAGTCTCGGCTCATCACCCTATTATCTATAGATTCTTATCACTATACTTTTGTTGACTATCGATGCTATGCCCCCAGGCAGAGCAGCTCCCACCCAGACATAAACAGGCACAGACCAACCCTGCACACATACAAGACAAATGCTGTGACAGAGACATTAACACAAGCTCTCCAAGAACCACCCCTCGGCTAGAGACAGTGCCACATGAGAAGACCCAGGAGGCGGAGAAGAATCTGTGGCAGGCTGAGAAGAACCAAATGCTGTGGCCAGAAACAAAACCAGATGGGAGCCACTGGGGTGAGTCATATGCAAGACACCTTACTTCAAGGCCTAAGATGTAAAGATGCAGGGAAGAACTCCCAGAAAAGGTCTTTGCAGAAATGGACCACTCGAGACTGGAGATGTCAACGCAGCCTGGAACAACGCTGCAAAGGCAGACTGACCTGAAACCTCCAAGACCTATCCACGCTTTAGGCTTATAACGCAATAAAAAAGGACCCGACTGGCACTGTGCCGATGACTACGGGCATTCGAGACCCAAGGGATGGTGCCTGAAGCACACGCTGTGCTACTCCAGCACAAAGAGCAACGAGGATGTCGTGACCCAAGGAAGCTCTAGGACACATAAAACGGAAACCACAAGCTACACAACAACACAGCCATAGGCTGGAACTGCCCTGCCTGGCACATGGCAGTCTCGTGCAGAAAGGTAACCTGCTCCCTTTCCCTGCCCAAAGGGCATAGCTCCTGGACAGCCCTCTCCCCTACGCTCACTTGAAAACCCCTCCCCACAATTCCCAACCTTGGGCTTGCCCCAGAGCCCTCTCCCAAACACCAGTCCCTCAAATTACCTGGGGGTCTGAAGCCATCTTCCTCAAATCCCACGTCAGCTAACCCAGATATTCCTTTATGAAAAAAATAAAATGCCATGGGGTTATGCTGCTTTTCTAGCAAGACCACGCATGCTACCTAACTTCTTGCAGACCCGTGTTCTAGATAGGACTAAAGAACAAAGCACAGTGAGATGGAGAAATTACTATAAAAGGGTTGAGGAGTCCCGCTGGGGCATGGTGGAAGAAAATCAGGGTCAGAGAGCAAGAGAGAGGGAAATGGAGAGAAAACAATGAGTGAGGAGCAGAAAGGACAGAAAGAGAGAGAAATCATATGCGGGGAATAAGGAAGGTGGGAGGAGAGAAATAGATAGAGAAGAAGCCAGAAGGGGTGATAAAGTAAGAGAGACAGATCAGGGCAAAGAGAGGGAGAACAAGGAAACTGTAGTTATTTCAGGATGAGGAAAAAGGGGCAGAGAGAAAGACAGAGGGGAATAATGGGACAGGGAGCTTGACAGGGGGATATAGGGAGAGTCAATGGGACAGGCCATGATATGGAGATACACATTTAAATGGTTAGGGAGAGGGTGGAGGAACTAAGACAAAGCGGAAAGGGAGTGAGACAGAGAAAATGGACAGAGTGACTGAAGAGAGTCAGAGAGATAGAAAAACAAAGGACAGTGCAAGATAGGAAACTAGAGAATCAAGAAGAGAGAGAAGGGACAGAGAGATCTGGAAGACAGGTGAGGGACAGGGAGCCAGAGAGCAGGAGACGACTGCAGAAGAGAGGGACAGAGCAGGATGCTGGATTAGAGAGCAAAGAGCAACAGAGAATGACAGAGAGGTGGAGTATGACAAAGAACAGAGACAGAGAACAGGACAGAGAGATGAAGCAATAAATAACTGACACAGGGAGCAGCACAAAGGGTCAGAGAAAGGATGAGATAAACAGGGAGAAAAAGAGGGACAGCGAGATATAGAATAAGGGGGACGGGCATCAATGACCAAGGTAAACGGATACAGAATGCTAGGGGAGGAGGGAGAGAGAGCAACTCGGGGACATGGAGCGGCATGGACAGGCACAGAGAGGAACAAAATGCCAGGGAACAGGCCAGAGCAGTTGTGGGCAAGAGACCAATGCTGATCAGGACCAAGAACTGGCAAAGGAAAAAAAACAGCGCTAGGCTACAGGGGAGAGATGGGGGACAAAAAAAAGGAAGGAGAGGGAGAGAAACAAAGGCATCTAGAGGGAAAGAAAAAGGGAGAACTAGAAGAAGACACAACAAGAGGGAGTGGGAGCACGAGAGAAGAGCAGAGGTAAAGGGAAGGGGAAAAAAAAAAAATAAAATCACAGCAGCATGGGACAGAGACGGGGCCAGGGAAGAGCCCAAAATGCACAAGAGGGGCAACACGGCCCTGAGGGTCCGCGACTCACGGCGGCCGTCGCTCTCAGTGCTGCCAGGAAAACTTGCCACTTCAGACCCTTCTTTCTCCTTCTCTCCCCCCTTCCTCTTCCGTAGCTCCAGCCCTCCCCCTCAAAGAATACGCGGGGGTCTCTCAGCTCTCACAAGATGCAGCTCCCTGTTCACGCAGCCTCGCTCGCTTGTGCACTGCGCGGCCGGACCGCGCCTGGGGTGACGCACACAGACCCTGGGGCATGTTGGTGCTCTGGCCCGCTGTGGCCTCTGACGACGGATTCTTCCTCACCCAGAGAGGCAGGCGCTCTCTCCCTGCAGTGCGAGGTGGGTGCTGCCCAGATGGCCTTCATTTTCTTCTTCATCCCCTTTCTCAGGCCTCTCCAGCTTCAGCTGTGGCAGCTCCTGTCCATACCCAGGGAACATCCCAGGGCCCTGTCCCTTTTCACCTCTATGCATGAGGAGCACAAGGCCAGGCAGAGACACCCCACACAGTGCTGAGGTGGGTCCAGTCAGCAGCATCCCCAGGGAAGGAACAGGCAAGTGCAGCCTCAGCGTGGCCTCTGGGAAAAGGAAAAATGAAGTGACTACCATTACTACCATAGATCGCCCCTGGCCAGAGCCCTCCCTCCACAGGGACTCCTGCAGATGCCCCAAGGGCCAGCTTGCCGCCATCCCCACAGGGCAATGG